TGTGGTTTTCTTCCCCGTAATCCTGAAGAATTGATATGTCTGGATGCTTGATAGAAGTCTGTGCCAGGAATCAGAAGAGAGTATGGGGAGGCTCCATTTCCACAGCTTACCCCACCAGAAACTCCTATTGATGCTCCTGTCTGCCCACACCCTTCTGTCATCCATTTGATTTTTAAGAAATCTGCAGCAGGCCAGACACATCCCTGATAAGGCAAACAGAATCTGCATGTGTTTCCCAATGCTTACATGATGGGCTCTGAAACTGACTTTAGAGAGGAAATAGAAAATAACTCTGTATCTTTTATTCTACTTTGAGTTTGCCTTTAGGGACAATGATGGGACAGTGTGGTTATTGACCAATATACAGTTCTAAACGCTTGTTTCTATTACTGAAAATTTTGGGGAGTCCTTTCTTAGAACAGTAAGGTCTGAACATCCTGACACAGATGAAAATAAATTTAAAAATAACTTCATGAAGATGATAGAGGCCTTTAAAGAGGAACTGAAAAATTCCCTTAAAGAAATCGAGGAAAAGACAAAAAATTGGAAGAAATCAATAAATCCCTTAAAGAAAGCCAAGGGAAAAAAAAAACAATCAAACAGGTAAAGGAAACAGTTCAAGACTTGAATACTGAAACAGAGGCAATAAAAAAAAACACAAACCAAAGGAGTTCTGGAAATGGAAAATCTGGGTAAATGAACGGGAACTACAGATGCATGCATAAACAACAGAATAGAAGAAATCAAAGCAAGCCAAATAAACCTTTTCCCCCAACTTGCTTTTGGTCATGGTGTTTTATCGTAGCAAGAGTAACCCTAACTAAGATAACCAGCATGGCATTCTTTGGACATTTAATTCTCTTCTCCCTTTAATTTCTATATCACACATCACTTGATAATGTATTCTAATTAGCAAAGGACAAACTTTATAGCATTTCCATGGAATTCTCTTTATCCATGGAATCTGCTGTCTTAGTCAGTGTTCTATAGCTGTGAAAAGACACCGTGACCATGGCAGCTCTTATAAAGAAAACATTTAGGGGAGCTGGAGAGATGGCTCAGAGGTTAAGAGCACCAACTGCTCTTCCAGAGGTCCTGAATTCAATTCCCAGCAAACCACATGGTGGCTCACATCCATCTGTAATGAGATCTAGTGCCCTCTTCTGATGTGCAGATATATGTGGAAGCAGAATGTTGTATACATAATAAATAAATAAAATCTTTAAAAAAAGAAAACATTTAGATGGGGCTTGTTTACAGTTCAGAAGTTTAGTTTATTAGCAGCATGATGGAAAGCATGGCAGCACTCAGGCAGGCATAGTGCTGGAGAGTAGCTGAGAGTTCTACATTCATATTGACAGGCAGCAGGAAGAGGGAGACACTGGGCCTGGCTTGAGCATTTGAAATCCCAAAGCCCATCCCAGTGACACACTTCCCCCAACAAGGCCACATTTACTCCAACAAGGCCATTCCTCCTAATCCCTGTCAAGTAGTGCCACTCCCTAATAACCAAGTATTCAAATATATGAGCCTATGAGGGACATTCCTATTCAAACCACCACATCTGTAAAACAGCAGTTAGTGTTTTATGAAAGGATGAATGCTCCAGTTAAACTCATAGAGCTGTCTGTTGTGGTCAAAACTATTACATTAGAAAGGCAACAGAAGGCCAGGCAGTGGCAGTGCATGCCTTTAATCCCTGCACTCAGGAGACAGAGGAAGGTGGATTTCTGTGAGTTCAAGGCCTGCCTGGTCTAAAGAGCAAGTTTCAGGACAGTCAGAACCGTTACAAAGAGAAAGCCTGTCAGAGAGAGAGAGAGAGAGAGAGAGAGAGAGAGAAGAAAACAGGTGGAGGGAGCAATAGAAAACCTTGTGAAACTGATGAGTTAAATCAGAACTACTGGAGTACAAATTATGAGTGTCTTAGTTAGGCTTACCATTGCTATGAAGAAGCACCATGACCAAAAGCAACTTGGGAAGGAAAGGGTTTATTTCATTCATAGTTCACTATAACAGTTCACTATCAAAAGCTGTGAGTGCAGGAACTCACACAGGGAAGGAACCTGGAGGCAGGAGCTAATGCAGAGGCCTTAGAGGGATGCTGCTTACTGGTTTGCTCCTCCTGGAGCAAAGCCTTGCTCAGCCTGCTTTTGTATAGAAGCTGGAACCACCAGCCCAGGGATGGCACCACCTAAAAAGAGCTGGCCCCTCCCCATCATTCACTAATTAAGAAAATGCCTTACAGGCTTGCCTACAACCTGATCTTATTGTAGGCATTTTCTCAATTGAGGCTTCTTCCTCTCTTATGACTCTAGCTCAGTGGTTCTCAACCTTCCTAGGGCTGTGACCCTTCAGTACAGTTTCTCATGTTGTGGTGACCCTCAACCATACAATTATTTTGTTGCTGCTTCATAACTGTAATTTCGATAACATTATGAATTGTAATGCAAATGATGTGCAGAACATCTGATATCCAACCTTGTGGAAGGGTCGTTTCAACACCCAAAGTTAAGAACCACTGCTCTAGCTCATGTCACGTTGACATAAACTGAACTATTGCACCAAGACACTCTTTTTACTTGAGCATTTAAACTAAAACGCTTTTGGCTAAGGTAGCAAATGATGCAGGAAACGAGGTGACAAAAACAGCAGGAATATGTGTTTAGGGCCACAGCAGGTGTCTGATATATTTGACTCCTGTGGTTCAGAACTTTCTAGTGAATGTCTGATCTTCACTTTGTAAAAAGGAAGCTGGGAGAAGTTAAGTCATTTTCCAGAGGTCACATGATACAAAAGCAATGTGAACTAGATTTAACGTGAGGTCTGACTGAAAGAGTTCATGCCTCCGGAGCCTGCAGCTGGGGTGGGGATGAGCTTTCTCACCCTAAGCTGACTCCTGATCTCCTGATCGAAGAAGAGCCGTTTCAGCTGGTGGTCAAGGAGGCAGATGGGCCAATTTACTATTCGGAGTAAGATGAAGAGAGCAGCCAACCTGCCAACAATACTTAAACAGATGGACACTGATACACGTCCAGAGAGCCGTCAGCTGCTTCACATTGCTTTTTTAAACTGGGAGTCAATTCAGGCGGTAAATATATATGAGATGTTGGCTGAGAATGTTGACGTCCATCTTGGCCAGCTCATCTCCTATCCCTCTTCCTCCTTCAGGGAAGCCTGGTGGTTGGTGACGGCAACCACACTGGCTGCAGATGTTTCTGTTTCCTTTCTTACACAGCGGTACATGTGTCCTTACACCAACTTTTTTTTCCTCTTATGAAAAAGTATCTTTCAGAATGCTCACTCTCATTTCTAAAAAAATTTTCTTCCCTTAAAAAAATGGAACAAACCTTTTTAAAGTTACAGCATGCACCATTATGTAGAGACTTTGTCTTCTGTAGGATGAAAACATTCACATTTTCCAAAGTTCCTCTTATCTGGGGGTGTCACTCCTGGGTAGACTCATCTGGAAGATGTAAGGCCCTGGGCTCTATCTGCAGTGGCTCCAACACATGTAACCAACAGTAAAATGATTTCATTCTTGGGTCAGCAAGAGGAAATTACATTTTCCTATAAAGCAGTCCATTTCAAAGTATTCTAGTGTCCCTGAAAGGCATCAAAGTGGCATCTGATGTTCCTCCTGAAATGATAAGTTGGTCATGGGGGTGACTGTTACCTGACGAAAGTACATTTTGTTCCAGATGTTGTCATCAGGCTCCTGCAGTTATTGTTGTGTCTTTTGTCACTTCCCTTGAGATGAGACCTATTGCTTTTCTCCCAAGAGTCTCCTGCAGACCTGACCTTTGTGTTTGAGCCTCTGGTTATGCCTGTGCTCACCAAAAGCACTGTGCCTGTGTTTCCCTGGTGTTCAATTCACTGTGTCCAAAATGGGGGGGGGGTGTTACATCGCAATCATTCTAGACATGTCAACTTTTCAACATAAAGTGAACTAGCCCTTTACCCTTTATATTTAAACCTTGCAAACTGCAGTTTTGATGTTCAGTGGCTTGTGGATTCTCCTACTGTAGTTACCAGACATTGCATGTGGTGAGGGTCACTGCCCAACTGTAGACAGGCAGGTTCGGTTGAGGGACCACCTCTGTTCCTATAGTGGGGAGCTATACAATTCTGTATATGTGATATGAAGCTGGTGAGGGGTATGAATGAGAACTTGTGGCATACTAATCGGGTCTGTAATCTTTCATAGCAGGCTTCAGAGTCGGTTCCTTGAATTCAGTAAGTGGATGGTAACATAATATGTCATCGAGAAAAATTGGAGTTAGGAATAGTCTGGGTCTCAGAATCACTTCTGCAAGTAAAGTAACTGTTGACAGCCAAGCAGATTCTTAATCTCTTGGGCCAGTTTCTTCTCACAGAGCTCCACCTTTTTGCCATAGAGAGGCATACTACAGTGCTCAGGAGGCTGAGGCAGAAGGGTTGCTGCAAGTTGAGGCTGCCTAGACTACACAGTGACCTCCAGGCCAGTTTGGGTTAGAGTGTAAGAACTTGTATCAAGAGCAAAATAAAACAAAACCACCGCAAAAAAAAAAAAGAAAAAAAAAAAAGAAATTGACTTTTTAGATATATGTTAACAGTAGAAAAAACAAGTTTCTTTAGATGATCATATTTAAGGCTTTGTGTCTTGTGTGCTGTGACTAGCTTCTCTGCCTCATGGTTTGGTTAAAAAAAAAATAACTCCAGTGTGATGTGTCGCTGTCCTGTCTCCGATGGTGAAAAGACTTTGTGCTCTAAGTGACAGGGAGAAGAAAATGTCATTCTCTCACCTTTAAAATAATGGAAAGTCACTGAGGATGTCCTGAAGGAAGGAAGGCTTTCAGAAAAGTCACATGAAAGGTAGGAACACTGAATTTCAGATGGGGATGGAAAATCACTGAGCATGGATTAAGACCTGTCCTGCCATGAAACTGTGTTCTGAGTCACTCTGTCCCCTGAGGAAGTAGAGTCAGGTGGCAGGGCAGAGTTTCACAGAGTAGTAACTCAGGAAACACAGGGGATTGGTTAGGGAAGAGTTTGATCACCGATGGCTTTGGGATTCACTGATCCAAGAAAAAGTTCATGTGGAAAATGTCTGTGTCAAGCAGGAGCACTATCTCCACTGAAGCGATAGATCCTATTCTTAACTGAATGATTGACAAGATGAAAAAGCTGGGATGTAAAACTTTACCCCAATCCCTGCCTTCTGCATCCATAGGTGAGTACTCTTATTTGCCAATTGCTTTTCATCCTGACAATTCTGAATCAACTCCAAGGGCTTCATTCCCAAGCTTCCTTGTAGAAAGTATTTGACTTAGAACAGCTTCACGTTTGAAACAATGTCAAAGTTTCCTCTCAGATATTAAAAGGTGCTATTGTCACTCAAGATTTAAACAGGGGTATACATACAAAAGGAGACATAGTTTCAGATAGTTTGTAGTATGCCTTTATAAGTGATAATCTCTCTCTTATTTGATATAAGCTTTATTTTTATATTCCCACCAGCTCTTCAGGGCTTAAATTTCACAAAGATTTAGCAGTTTTACCTGCAGTTAAAAATATCTAAAACGTGTCTCAATAGAGCCATCCACCCACACAGGGGCCCACAGCTCCACCTCATACTCCATCCCACGTTACCTCGGGATTAAGTTGTAGAGTGCGTTCTCAGCAAGCGCTTTTTCTTCAGTACTAATGATTTACCTTCCAATGACTGGTTTCCTTTTCAAGCAGAGACCAGGAGTCCTTTCTTGAAGTTTCCCTGAGAAACAGGTTGCATGAGAAATAGCTGCAGGCAGCGGAGCCAAGGGCCTTGCCCACACTTGCCCTTCTTCTCCCATTAGGGCTCTGGGGTGTCACTCTTGGTTCACAGCCCGGCATCTGTAAGATCATTACTGGCCTAGGGGAAGGGCTGGGATCTGCAAAGGTAGAATGTGGCTTCTCTCCTCCCAGGAAGTAGCTGGGAACTTGAAGGCAGACAATTCCCATGCAGAGTAAGGCTCAATGCAGAAAAGATTTCAAAGCATGACAGCGGCATTTTCCTCCCTCCTCAGAATCCTATCAAAATCCCCGACATCGGGCTTGGGATGAGCACCTCAGGGCAACCCACTGAGAATAGCCGCAGAGGTCAGGGCTCCCTCACTCAGCAACATCAGAAGTGAGAGCTCTGTCACTAGGCAACACAGTGAAGCTGAGCTCTGAGAGCAGTCCCAGGAAAGCTCCACTAGTCTCCATGTGACCCCCACCTGCACCTCAGAGATATGGCCATGTGCTTCTTCATGCTCTGCCAAAGAGAGGGGCTTGCAGAATGCCTGCTCTTTTCTAAGCTAGGCTAAGCCAGCCTGGCAACTGGCATTTGAGAACTGCTAGTCACAGCATCAGCACCTGCTTCTCTGTGTGTCTGCTCACTCCAGATCTCTTGGCTCTTATCCTTTGAGCTTTGTTTAGTCATGTTTTCAACATTGGCTTTCTCTTTTATCTTTTATTTAAATCAGATGGTCATGAACCACTGTCTCTTCACCCACCCTAATGCATCCTCTCACCTTGCTTGGGAGACAACTCTTTCCTCATGTTTCTGCCCATCTTATATCAATAATTTTGAACCTTCCTTTGGAAGATGATTGTGTGGGAAATGACATGTTGGAGATAAAGCAGGTACTTCTACAATCACACTTTCTCTAGGGACAAGTTATAGTAAGTTCACTGGTAGCTGCTCATAAGATGGAGGTCTCCCACTCTAAGTTCTGGAGGTGTGATCCTTAGCCACTATGAATAATGGATATAGTCTCCTTCTAGCCTGCATCCTGATTGACTCCGTAGAACTGACTGGTCCAAGATCACAAGCACTGGCGGGCTGTGAGCAGTAAGGTCCCTTGTGAGCAGTAAGGTCTAAACCAGCCTTGAGTCTCTGGCATCTGTGAGGATGTAGCAGGCTATCTCATAGTCTTCAGGTAGATTGTAAGTTCAGACCATTCACATTTCTTGAGATGCCTTACTTGACTTGAACAATATAGCTAGCTTTCATTTTGCATTTTCTTAGCATTCATCTTTTTTTTTTTGTTACTCATAGCACCCTGATTCCCTCTTAAGTATTATATACTCAGCATTGAGTGTTATCTTCAGGAGTTTAATTATTTGGTGTTCTGTCCTCTGCTAGTAAAGGGACAGAGGCATGACCTCAGCTAACGTGGACAGAACTAACAAAGTAGCCAAGACAAGGAGACAATGGGTGCCCATTCATGGTGCATTGACTCCCTAAACAAATCCTTCTATTTCTGTGTATCCTTTCTCTGAATCTATAGATAACTTGAAATTAGTTTGTGTCCAGACAGATTCTCCCCATTTCCTATGAACTGTGTGAGTTTCTATCAGCCTCAAATACATTCCTTCTGGTCTAAGTTGGTTTCTGTTTCCTTCACCCAAAGAATTCTAACACAGTCAGCTAGTACTCTAAGCCCTCTGAGGCCCACTTCTCATGGTCAGAATGTAGGCTTTGTGTGGTGTGAACAGTCTCTTCCTGTAGCATGGTTATCCTCTCTACAACTTAGGAATTAGAAACAAGACACTACTGAAGGTATAGATATGACAATAAAACATGAGTCATTTGTAGACCATGTGGATTTCCTTTCTAATTAGAAATCTTTGTGAGATTATTCATTCACTCACTGACTGATATTTAATGTACACTTCCTTTAGGTTAAGAGCTACTGCAAAGATGATAGAGAATAAAACAAGAAATGTGTGTAATCTTGATAATTCTGTTCTAATAAACATATCTAAGAGCAAGGCAGTATACAAAATACAATCCTACTGCTGCCAGAATTACACTTTTCCTTATTAGATTTATTATTTATCTTATAAAGACAAGTGTATTGATGAGGGTGTCCTTCTGTATATATGTTTCTCTTATTGGTTGATAAATAAAACACTATTTGTCCAATAGAGGCAGGAAGATAGGTGGTACTAGGAGACAAGGAGAATTCTGGGAAAGGTAGGCAGAGAGGGACCACAAGGAGACACCATGTGGAAATACATAGATTTAGAGAAACTGGTTAATAATTAAGACAGAGATAGCCAATAAGAAGCCCTAGTCATCAGTCAACAGTTTTATAATCAATATAGCTTCTGTGTGTTCATTTTGGGGCTGAAGCGGCAGTGGGACCTGGCGGGACAGAAAACTCCAGCTACAGTGTGTGTGGAGTCACATGTACCAAGGTACACATGTGGAAGTCAGAGAACAACTCACAAGGACCCAGTTTATCTCCTTCTACCACGTGAGTACTGGGGATTGAACTCAAGGTATCAGCCTTAACAGCAAACCACTTTACCCACTGAGACATTTTGCCAGCCAAAATGTATTCCAGTTTGTCACTTTCCAGCATGATATCTAGTAGCTTTAAGTGTTCAGTCAATATTTATGGACTGAATAAATGGATCAACCTTCCAGGGAAAGGTGATGACATTGCAATAAATGCATTGCTGGCCACAAACTGAGTGTCCAGAATTAAGATCAGAGCATCAGAATGCAGGAGGGGAGAACATGAGAAGCTCTCAGAATTAAGTGAGGCTAATCTGTTTGCATGGTTTATTTCTTTGTCAAATTTTCAATGTCCCAAAAGTCACAAAAATCACTCTGTGAATTAAGAATTTTACTAGATGGTAAATATCACGACAGCTAATCAGAAAAAGTCCTAAGTGTTAGAGATGCAAATAAAAAACAAGGAATATAAGAAATGCACAAAGAAAATGTAAATAGAGGTCTTATACAGAATAAATGGCATACGGCCCAGACCTTAAGATGAAGTAAAATCAGTCTTCCTTAATGGGCTTCACCATCTCATCTTGCCTTTTAAGGGTTTCTGTTTTTTTTTTTTATATTACACTTCCTTTTGTTTTCTATCCTGATACATCTTTTCTTCTCATTTGATGAGTGTTATTTCATTTCTAATGTGACCCAACTGTTTCCATTTCAGTTTCGACTCAGATGTCTGACTGTCAAAGGAGTTATCACCTGGTCTTGGATACACACCTACATTATTGGCAAACAGAGCTTCTGGTAGACATGTAGAGAAAGGGTTGGTCCACCAGGAAGCTCTTGCCTTTGATTGAGAGAGGGCTGAATGCCTATGCTCAGTCTTACTGCATCTGTGACAGTGTTTGTCCTCTGTGCTTGCAGGATAAAGAGTAAATGAATCACCTTCCTCAACATTATCAGTGGCTTCTAAATTCTTCTCTATTAAGAAGTCAACTGGGCCAGGCCTAGGCCCTTCCCCATGTGTCCATGTCAAAAGAGCATCCCTTCACATGGTTTGGGCTATCAAAATCCCTTCTTTTTTTTTTTTTTAAGACCTTACATATTTAATACAGTGCGTTACCCCTGTACAAATGGAAAAAAAATAAGTTCAACATTTCTAGACCAATATGGCTGTTAATTTTTGTACAATGCCAACTCAACACAATAAACTAGGATACTTTTTTCCAAAGTTGACAGCACAGCTAAAGTTTCATGGGGAGAGGGGAGGGAGAGGGAGAAGGGATTGACATCTGAAGCAAGCTTGTTCCTAATTTGAACTAATAAAATAAAATAAAATAAAAAAGGTATGACAAAAACCCTACACAGACTGGAAGGATTTGGCCATTATAAATAAGGCTTCATTTAAACAAACAAACAAACAGAAAAAAAAAAAAAGAAGTCAACTGAAGTCAACTTAATGGTTGCCAGCCAGTTCAAAGAGTTTGGGGCCTGGTATCCGCTAAGAAGCAATTAAGCAGCCAGACATGGATGTTTAGATGAATAAGTGATGAGTAACTAGTGTGGTACTCTGCTGCACTCAATACCATCTGAAAAGAGCAGATGGAAAGGCAGGGATAGAAAACATATACTTACTTGTGCTATGAGTTGAGCTCCTGTTTGAGCATGGCTAAGCCGAGAATATGTTCTGACAGGTGGCCTAAAATAGCAGGATTTAAGTATGTCTCACAGCACACAGCTGTTTCTGAATAAAAAGGAAACACTACAGAAAGTAACTGAACACTTACTCCGTGAAGATAATCCAGACCCACTGGGATAAGGAAGGCTCGATTTCTATCTAACAGCAGATTCCAGTGTCAGCAAGGGGAGAGTCTACTCCAGCTAACACAGAGAAGGAACCAGCAAAGACAAAATACACTGCAGCGGTATTAAAAGAAAAGGAGCCTGGCTGGGAGAGGGGGACTAAGGTTGCTGAAGGTGGAAATACAGCGAAAGAGCAGGGGATTATTTTAGAAAGGGGAGGGGCAGGGTGAGGCTTGCTAAATCTTGGGATTGGTGAGAGGGAATGTGTTGGAGGAAGAAATACTTGGAAAAGCAGGTAAGTCTGAGGAGCACCCTGGGTGCCTTAACTTTGACATTGCCTTAGAATTGGGAGCTCCTACAGCCCCCTCCATTAAGTTAATATCTAATCTTTTTTTTTCTGAAATGACCTTAATAGACCTTTAATATGTCAACATGCATTGGGTATGATCCTTCGAAAGAGAAGCCAACTGTGTAGCAATTAGTAGTCGTAGAGTAACGAATATCTATTTTAGACCTACTAACACAACATGGAAACAAAGTCCAGTGAAGGTATATTGTGGGTTTGATGCCCAAGCATCTACTGGAATGAACTGCACAGAGGGAACTCTGTTTGGCCCACTTACAAGGCATATTTGGTTCTGTGAGAAAAATAGAACAGTCCCTTTTTGGGTTTCCTTGGTTTTTTTGAGCATAAGCCTCCCAAACGGGATCTTTTACACTAATTCGGTAGAATGAACAACTTTGCCTATTCACAGAAATCAATGTAACCACTGGCTTGCTTCAAGGGAAAGCTGGCAGTCTCAGGTTTGGATAGACAGTCTTTGCAGTGTCCTTGGAAGACACATATAGGGAGCTTTCAGTTTTATGAGAAATAGTGGCAATGGCAACATTTTGTTTACATTTACGTGTGTGTCTGTATTAGTGCTTCTATTACTGCAATAATGGTAAGCTTATGTATGTGTGTGTGTGCTTGTATATATTCATGTGTGTGCTGATATACATGTGTGTGGGTTCATGTGCACAGATGTATGTCAGTGTGTAAAAAATAGAGCACAGCCTGGGGTGTCATTCCTCAGATGCTCTTCCTGTGTTTTGAGACAGGATTCTTCACAGAGCTACTGAATGAGGTTTGGTTGGCTAGTAATCTCTACTGATCTGCCCAACTCTGCCTCCCTATGAAACATTGTGGCCAAATTATCGAAGCACTATGGAATGTGGAAAAATCTCATGGTTACCTTAATTTTTCATAAGAATATTATTTTCTAAAGACACGAAGAGGATTACATTGGGGAAGACTGGGCTGTCTACAGAGAAGTATAAGCAGGTACCAAGTCAACAGTGGCACACGGCTCTGCTGTACACACTGTAGGGGCTGCTGCGTGTGTAACTAACAATCTGAAATCTTAGCTGTCAGCACATTTGTCTTTTCTGTTTCTGCTGAAGGGTGCTGAGGATAGAACCCAGGGCATATGCTAAATGCACCCCAGAGCCACACTCACAGCAAAATGTGAATTCTTGTTTTACAATGTTAAGAGAGCCTGAAGGTAAGATACTAAGAAAACTCTTTGAGAATTTCATACAGGACCTCAGCATGCTACACCATGAATCTTAGTCACATGGCTGAGACAAGATGATTGCTAGCTTGAGGCTGATCTGGTCTACACAGTGAACTAGTCTGTCCTGGGACACATAGCAAGACTGCCTCAAAACCAAACCAATCCAAACCAAACAAAATACTAAGTCAGGTACTGTTTTATTATTTCACCCATGGTAAGCCCAGAAAGGCAAAACTATTAAGAAATCTAATTAATGGTTCTTAGAGGTGGGGGTGAGAGGAGGGAACTGATTGTGAGTAGGCAGTGAGCCTTAAGAGGCTCACAAAATATTTTCCTACTCAATTATGCTAGTGACTGTATCAGACACATCAAAGCATTCAGACCTGCTGGGCACAGTGGCATATGAGAAGCTGAGGCAGGAGGATCAAGGTCATCCTCTGCTAAAAGTGAGTTCAAGGCCAGATTGGGGTACAAGAGCCTATCTAAAAGAAAAACAAAATCAAAACAACCATACATCAGAGTGAATACTGGTAGATCTTGCTTTAAAATACATTTAACAGGACTTGTGCCAAAGCCAACTGTATGTTAACAGGGGAAAATGAAATTTAAAATGTCATTTATAACATCATCAGTAACCAACAAAGCAGTGGGGGAGCCCTACTAATCATTGTCCATAGCTTTTTGTGGAAAACTAAGACACATCACTCAAGTAAGGATATAAAAAATGAAGGAAATGAAGAGACTAAAATATATAAACAATTCAGTTAGTGAAAGCTCATCTGCAGAGTCAATATCTGAAACAAAACCAGAATTTGTAAATATTGCATTTTACTTGTGTGTGTGTGTGTGTGTGTGTGTGTGTGTGTGCATTTGTGTACACACACACACACACACACACACACACACACACACACACACAAGCACAATTCATACATATGGAGGTCACAGCCACTGTGGGAGCCTTTCCTCCTTCCACTCTGTGGGTTCATTGACCTCAGGTTTGGCTAAGTACCTATACTCTCCAAACCATCTTGCCAGCCCTAAACCAGACTTTTAAATAATCAAAGCTTAAACCTCTCTAAAGCTCTTGGGAGACACGTTACACAACAGAAACTAAGGCAAGCATCCAGGAGAAGATGGGAGGACTCCCAACACCCTATGAAAATGTAAGGAGCTACTGATGGTGGTAACTTCCAATGGGATGATGTTGGCCCAACATTAAGTTACACATTAAAGCAGTGAGGAAAGTGGGCACTCCAGCAGGCAATGCCAGTTATATCACTGATTCAAAGCAACTAAGATATTAGAGGAAAACAGAGGACAATGTCATCAGGACTTTGGGATGGGAAAAAAACAAATGATAATCTCTTTTTGTTAACATATGCCAATTAGATCAGGAGGGTAGAGTCTGAGAAGATACTTGCATATATTGTCATATAACACCCAAAGGACATGTGAGAATGAATGGCAAAGGAGCCTGCAAATCAAAAAGCCCAAGAGGGATTATGGCTGAGTTCCCTCCAAGTTAGAATATCCTAATATACTTTTATGCAGATACAAATTCAAATATCATGCACTATTAATACAGTCCAAAAAGAGGGAAAAAAAGGAAATTAAGTAACCATTGACAAAGATGCTGAGTGAGATTCTCATATAGAATTAATGGAGTAGAAATGGATAAAACCACTTCAGAAGACTGACAGTAGCTAGCAAAAATGCTGCCTTATTAAAAACAAACGCATACACCCATGATATACGCAAAAGCCTATGTCAGGTGCAGTATCTCAGGAGGCTTCAAACAGAAATGAGTATCCAATGTAAAGTGGGTTTTAAAGTATGGTACATTCAGTCAACAGTGGGCTACTATAACATTTACAAAAGGACAAACAGGGCTAAGGACATGGCTGAGTAGCTAAAGCACCTGCTGCTGAAGTGTGAAGGCCAGTTCAAATCCCCAGAAACCACATAAATGCTGGGTGGGCGTTGCTGCCTGCCCATCTGTGATTCCAGCACTCAGAAGGAAGAGATGGGATCCCCTGGGGCAAGCTGGCTAGCACTGGTGAGCTTTGGGTTCATTTCAGGAGACCCTGACTCAGAGAATAAAGTGAAGAGCAATGAAGACTCCTGATATCAACCCTGGGCCTCCACAGATACACAAGATCACACAGACACAAATACAAACTCAACTACACAGACACAGGCAAATACTTACAAACTCCTTCATGTAAGAAAAAAATCTTGAAAAAAAATTGGAAATCTAAACATGGTACACATTTCAAATTATCTTACTTTAATACTGGGTTGATATATTTATCCTGTACTGGACAGCCCGGCAGGCAGATGTCGTATCTTCACAGTAACATTAGCACATATACCGCATGATGAAAATTTCCTGGAAATGCAGTGTGATTCTTGCATGTAGCTCACCATTAGTTGGCATCTTTCCAACTGCTGACCAAACGCCTGCAGAGTCCTTGCTTTGTCTCTTTGGTCCACCAGCTGAATTCTACCTGATCAAGAAGTGTTTTTCAAACTCCTGTATCAATTATTTCTGCTCAAACATCTCCTACATTAAAATTACCTAGAATACTTTTTTTAAAATAATTAACCCATCAAGTGCATAAAAATGAGTGGAGGCAGTTTTCCTGTCCTATAGCCACTCTCAAATAATCACTCA